TCCAGATAACGCTTGTTCAAAGAAGACTTGGTCGGCAGCAGGAAGGACGAACGGAAACCATTCAACCGCTACCAGCGACTGTCAGTCGGCGAAGTTCAACAGTAACGTCCCAGGAGTACGAACGCTTCAGTGACCTTGAACGCATGCTAGTCGTTGGCTAACGGCACCTATTATTATCATAGCAGAAAAATCAACGCTATTCATCAAATAAGGAGCAAGTTTCACCCAGATAACACTTTTAATTACTGTTTGGACAATGTGTTAATATCTCGTTAAGGTTAGGATAACGGTTAAGTTAAGTATTGAAGTTAGGGTTACGATTATAATTGACATTAGGGTTAGGTTTACGGTAGGGTATGGGTTGTCATTAGGTTTAGGATTAAGGTTAGGATCAGTGTTAAGTTTAGGGTTAGGGTCTGGATTAAGGTTAGGGTTGCGATTAGGGATAGATTTATAGTTAATGTCGTTTATTTTAATTTATCTTTATTTCCCTTGTATGTAGTCGTCGGTCCTCCTACTGAAACCATAGTAATTTAACCGAGGGCTTTGGAGCCGACTGCACAGCATGAGAAGAGAGATGAACGGTTAACAAAACAGCACGTCTTCAGTCACTTCGGTGAATATAGATGTATACATCTATAGAAACTAGTCCAAGTTAGCAAGTGATACTCTTCATCATAACTGGGACGTTTTTTAAAGTCATGTCAGAGAAAGATAATCTTTTAAATATGTTTTCTCGTGAATATACGTCATTTTTTGTGCAAAAATTCCTCATTTTTATAATTGGTTGGCTGAAGGTCGCTCGTGCGTTCGCATCCCTTGGGACGCTATTGTAGAACTTTGCCTGTTAGTCAATTCTCATAAACCACCAATGTCCAGGTCTTGCTACGCTGGGCCTCACGCTGTCCCTCCAAGATTTTCAGAAACGCTTAGTACTAACGGACGCAAAAACCAGAACACAGATTGACGATTCGAGAACTCTGTATCGCGGTACGTTCAACGTTTGCGTTACATTTTTACGTGATTCGTTACATAAAATTTATCTTGTTGTAGTACTTGCACAAGTACTATACTACCTCCATACTTGTAACCACTAACTTCCATTTCTAATAGTTATGGTTAATCAAAGTAAAAAGCAACGAACCCATTCCCCTGTAAAACTGGTGTCTAATTTAACGTCCTTGATTGCTACATCAAGCAACACACCCCCTACAAACGGCTATAATGAGTCACATAACTCACTTGTATGCCGTAAGCGTCGAGCTGGAACTGAGGATAAAACTGTACTGACAGCTAGTATTAGCACTACTCCTAAAAATTCAGTACCCTCTGCTCATACAGAACCCCTCCCTTCACCTTATGTGCTTATCGAAAAACTCCAGCCATCAAGCTCTTCTTCAGTACTATCTTCAGAAATAGAACTTCTAAAGTTGTCTATAGGTGAACTTAAGGCTGAGTTAAGGGAAATAAAAAACAGCAAGTCAGTAAATGCTGGAAACATCGAAACCGATACCGAGATATCCAAATTATCAGATCAGATCAGCGATATCAGATCGCAGGTCTGTGAATTGACACCTCTAACTATCCTCATGAAAACTGTAAACCTTAACAAGCTTGACACAGAATCGGTAACTAAGGTAGATAACCTCATTAATTTTGTTACCACAGAAGTAACAAAACGACTCGACGCAAAACTGAGTGCTATTGTCTACAACGTTCCGGACAATGAGGCACTAAAAAAGGTACAGCGCATCTTACTTAGTGAAGCGAAAATGCCTAACTCCAAGACTAAGTGCTATAGGCTGAAGAAGAGTCAACATGAGAAGTGTTGTCCTATTCGTTTTCAGTTCGAAACACCGGCAGAGACCAGAAAATTCATTCACTCCCAACACACCCTATCGCAAGCCAGAAACTACAAACATATAAAGGTCGGGGTGGACAAAACAGTCATAGAAAGGCGCGCATACAACTATCTCACTAAGACTAATTGTGAAATAGGTAATAGGACATTGCAAGCAGCCATTATTCCCAACCCTGTGAAAGATACAGTAGACCCCACCGCATCACCCCTCTCAAAACACACAGAATTATCCCATCAGAGTGCAACACCAGCCGAAAGGCCACTAGACTGTAACCAAATAAATAACAAAACCATACCACCTATCACCGCAGAATCTAAAATGCCATTAAATAACCCCAGAAAAAAAGTCAAAACCCCCCGAAATTCGACTTTGTCCTCTCCTAGCCATAACTCCATTGCTAAAGATAAGGAAAATATGCCCCTAAATCATACCAACAAAAACAGTGGCAGCTTAAATAAACCCACACTTCCCACGGTCAATAGTATTAGCACCCACAACGTGCTAAATCGCACCATGGCACACACTAATATCCAATGTCACAACAATGTCACCCTCAATAGTACAAGTGGTAATAGTCAGAACTCGGCTATCAACAACTCAGGGTCTTCAGAGTATGGCACACAAACAAATTTTGACCGGATATATGGTACAAGTCTGCTGGGAACTAACCCACAATGCAGTACACATGAAACCCACACAAGGACACAACTAGCATCAAACAATAGGTGGAATAATAAGCCATGGTCATCAAAGGATCCAATCATTTTTTATCCCCCGCGTCCCTGTCAGCGTTGAAAAAACAGCTGGTAGGGATGTTAACACTCCTAAACCACTAGAGCTGGCTCCCTCCTTGCATGAAAACAGGAACGGTCTAGTGCACCCGTATCCATTAGGCACACTTGACACCTGCACAAATATAGGTCAAATAAAGAACCCTACCCACTTCTGTAACCTAACTAAAAATAAAAATTCCTTGGTCTATAGCAAATCCAGTACTCCAACTCTTAATTCTTCACCGAAAACAGCACACACCAACTCGATAGACATAGGTGAGCATGATGCTGAAACTCCTCTTAACATAGGATCATCATGTCAAGCAGAACTACTGGGTGCTGAACCATATTCGGGGCTGACTAACGAACTTAAATACTTCAAATGCTACTTCAACTCTCATCTTTACCTAATCCTCATAAATGCTAGATCTGTTCTAAATAAATTGCCGATGCTCAGAGCACTCACAGTAATATACAAACCCCCTGTAATTGTCATCACTGAATCTTGGTGTCATTCGAACATCTGGAATGAAGAAATAAGCTTAGATAACTACACACACTTTCGGTGTGACAGGGAAGGTGGTAAGGGAGGGGGTTGTCTCATGTACTTTCTGAATGCACTTACTGTATCACAGCTAGAAAGTAGTACACTTAACATGCCTGAGACTCTATGGGTTAATGTACACTTAAATAACGTAACAGCATTAATTGGATGCACCTACAGAGCACCTGGCACCTTTAGTAATTACGAGACCCAACTTATTAATACTCTGGAGCAATTATCCGACTTACAATACGACCATAAGATCCTATGTGGGGACTTTAACTTACCTGAAATCAACTGGGATATACCCACAGGCCCAACTAAATTTGATAAGTTTTTAGGCACACTGGATATACTTGGCTGGAAACAAACTGTCACTACTCCCACAAGAGGTAATAACGTACTAGACTTAATCTTCTGCCACAATATAAGCCCCCTTTCAACGCTAGTAGGTTCTGAGTTTCCAGGGAGCGACCACAAAACAGTGGTATGTGCACTGCCAATTCCGCTGAGTAGCAATGCATCTCATACCTCCACTTCACAACAAGTAATATATAGGAACTATAGTAAGGCAAACTGGGCCTTAGTAGAATCAATGCTAAGATCCTCCAAATGGGATGAATACTTCACTACTGATGACCTATCGAGAGCCCTAACCATCTTCTACCATAACACTAACACATGCTTAGATGCTGTCATTCCACTCCAAACACTAAAGGTTTCCCCACACAGAAAGTCATTCATAAAACCAAAGGATCGTACGAAACTGAAGAGACTCTCAACAAGTTACTTCAAACACCACGACTTTGGCACTCTAGGTCTAATACTTAACACCCTTAGCTCCATCTCACAAGCTCGAGATTTCCGTATGAGAAAGGAAGAACGCATCGCAGTAGCCAGTCCTGCTAGAGTGTATGCACTCACAGAAATCTTAAGGAAGCGAATGAATCGCAAAAATCACAGCATTTCTCTCCTCATAGACAAAGGTAGGCTATGCACTAACTCTGCAGACATATGTGAACTATTCAACAAAACGTTTGCAGGTAACTACATTAAGCCCTCAGTCCAGCTACTCGATATACACCCTATTACTAATATGGCACAAACTCCATCTCCACTCACACCAAATAAAATCAGCACTGTTCAATTCACTTACGCTAATATTAACCAAACTATAAGAACCCTCAAAAGTTCAAAAGGTTTCGGTACCGACGGTATATCATCTTACTTCTATAAATATGGTGGCCCTGACATTCCTCTACTGCTGCTTAAAATATTCACAATGTCCCTAGAAACTCAAACTTACCCTGACATATGGAAGACAACATTCATTATGCCTAAACACAAATCTGGCTCGAAAACTGAAGTCAGTAACTACCGGCCGATCAATATCACACCTATAGCATCTAGAATCATGGAGAGACTAGTCAAAGATAACCTAATCAAACATATGCTTAGCTGCAATATTATAAGTCCGAACCAACATGGATTCCTGAAATCCAGATCATGTTTAACATGTCACCTAGACTTCTTCAATTTTGTAACCAGCAGTCGTGACAGACGGCAACTAGTACTTGTCATCTACTTTGACATTTCTAAGGCATTTGACCGTGTTGACCATTTACTGCTAACAAATAAGCTGAACTCCTTAGGAATACGTGACCCATTATTAGGATGGCTTAAATCATTCCTTAACAATAGGTCCCAAATAGTTAAACTCGGGTCTGCAACCTCCAAACCTAGCCCTATCACTTCTGGTGTAGTACAAGGTAGTGTCATTGGACCCCTCCTATTTACACTATACATCAATGACATATGCGCTTGCTTCACGCACGGGAAACCATTCATCTTTGCAGATGACCTAAAAGTAGCTTATACATTCCAAAGTGATGACTTAGGGAACTTCGAGAATGTAGTGCAGAAGGAATTAGATAAAATGACTGCTTGGTCGTCCCTATGGAATCTCCAATTCAATCTGAAAAAATGTGGCTGGATCTGCTTCGGTGCACCCTCAATTGACCTGAAATTAACGCTTCAATCCGCTAACCTAACCAGACTCCGAAGTGTCGTTGACCTAGGCCTGAGGTACTCTAGTGACTTGACATTCTCTGAGCAAGTAGCATCACAGACTAGAAAATCGAGGATGCTCTTAGGATGCATACTCAGGAACTTTCACGACAATGAAGCCAAGCTAATTCTGTACAAAACATGTGTCAGACCACTACTAGAATACTGTCCATTTATTATAAGCAGCACTCGCACACGTGATAAGCTAAGGATGGAAAGTATCCAACGATATTTTACCTCAAAACTACTTGGCTACGATTGTAAGAAAGACTACATCTCACGGTGCATGATCCTAAAACTTGACCCACTTTGGACAAGGCGACTTATTATAAACCTAATATTCTTCTTTAAGGTCCTTCACAAAATATCATTCTCAGGTAACAGGGACATACAATTCGCACAGGAAGGTTCTTACGATCTGCGTAACCAAACTTCCACAGTGACAACTCATTCTTTTAAGTCAACACTCCGTGAAAACTTCTTCACAGTCATGTATTCTAAAATATGGAATAGCCTGCCCATAGATATCAGAACTTGCTCTTCGGTTACAAGCTTCAAACGCTCTCTATACAGACTGTTTCACTCTACTGATTATATTAATAAACTATTTACTCCTAGAACGAATCAATCACTAATCTACTACAGCACCTAAAAAACGCACTTCAACACCCTTAGCAATCTAAACAATATAAATAAACTAGCAGCATGGATGCATAAAGACTTAGTACGGAACATACAGGATAGTTTACCCTTAGAAATAGGACGTGTCACCTTATTGTAACCTTCAAACGCTTGCTATATAAACTGTTTTGTCCAATGATTATCCCTACCAGAACCCATCACTTATTTCTAAAACGCATCAGTCATTAGAACACTAAAACGCTCAGACTCATTAATACACATTATGACACTAAATAAACTCTAAGACTTCGCATAAATTCGTAAAAAAAAACTATAACTAAAAATAATTTCTTAATAATTTATTTTACAGTTGACATAAACAATTATATATATACATTAATGTCCTTTTAATGTTCACATACTTTCTCTTTTTGGTACTCTGATACTCCTATTCATCTTCTGGTCGAGGTCGAACAACCCTGCATCTAAACTGAAATGAGGATTAATTCCAAACCATCTACCTCATAACCACCCAAATTCCATGAACGATCCAATTCTACCATTTGAAGACGCTGGCGAACATGCTGTAAATGAGTATTCATGATCTGAAATGAAGAAGCAACTGGTTTTCAAACAGTTTTCAACATTTTACTGAACTTACGAATACAGTCCGCCATGCAGACACAAATGGAGCAAATGGAGGATTCTGGAATCGACCTCGGCACCATTTGATGCAGTAAAACAACTTAATATGACTGTCAATGGAGTTGAAGATTGAACGATCAATTCTTGGTTGTTTGCTCAAAATCAACTTCCTCGATTTTCGCGGAGGCATCAATACGACAGTCATCGTCTCATCGGTCGCTGTTCAGAAAGAAGACTGAAACATCGTCAGAAGTAACAACGATTTATTATTGTAATATTTGTTTACAGACCTTAGTTTGCTTAGTGATACTTGATTTATATGCTGGTGTAACAATACATAATACTCAAGTCAACAATTGGTGTTTTGGTTTTTTCGTCCGTTGTTACTAAGCGTTTCTGAGAAATCTTCTAAGAACAGCGTGGGCCCGAGCGTAGCGAGAGCTGGGCATTAACGGTTTATGAGACGTGACTGACAGTTTCTGACGACAGAAACAGATCTGGCGGATTGAAACAGTTGGTGAAAGTTTGGATAGTCGCCGTTCATTTTTCCTGGTGCCGGTCAAGTCCTCTTTGAACAAGCAATATCTGGAACTTTTTTGGAATTTGGTCAAGTTCAACAATGCCTGGGTCAAAGAAGGGACAGAGTGTCTTGGATGCAAACAGGAAAGTAAGTCATGGTGACTTGTCTGTTAATTGTAACGATGTGTCTGATGTTAAGCATGACATGGTTGATGTTACTGTTTCGCCGTTCAGGGATAATAGGAACATCAAACTCCCTAAATTAGAACCACGATGTTTTGATGGAAACCCGGCTGATTATTTACAATTTGTAAAGGAGTTTGAGATCATGTTGAGTGGTTTTTTATTAAATGACGAATTGAAATTGATGTATTTGATGAGATATTGCACTGGAGATGCTGCAAGAGCTATACAGTGCTGTAAGTTTATGAAGCCAAAGGAGGGCTACGATGAGGCTATGAGCATATTACGCCAAAGGTTTGGAAGACCCTCGATGATTGCAGGGAAATTATTCGAGGCTGTTGAGGGTAATGGTGGTCAGTTACAGGATGACTCCCAGGCACTCACTGAGTTTTTAGATAATTTGCTAATTTACAAGAATGGAATGATTTCGATGAATCGAATGAGTGACCTCAACTCGAGTTTTATACTAGAAGTAATAGCAAGACGCCTACCTACTCGACTGCAAAGGAAGTGGGTGAAGATAAGCTCCCGTATGGAGGATGAGGGTATCGAGCCAAAGTTTGATGATATCCTGAAACTGGTAAATACTAGTGTCAATCAATCTATGAGCAAGTTCGCCAGTCTATTACATCTCACCCCTAGAATAGAGCAGTCTGAGGGAAAAACGCAATCATTGATGACGAGTAGGCCTCAGAGAGGTGGATATCGAGAAGGCTCCATGATGTCTAGTAATGCATATAGACCTAGTGAGTGTAACAGGTTTCGTAGTACATCCTCAACAGATAAGTTACAAGATGCAAGACAAACACGGTTTTGTTTTACACGTGTGCAAGAGGTGCATACAGAGGTGAACTGTGAACCAGTGAGCAAGTTCAGTGATAAGCTAAATGTAAACTCCAGGTCTGACTCCAAATTGTGTGACGATAACGGTGTTGTGAAGAAGTCTGTAGTTGCAACTGGTAAGCCGTTGTTGAATAGAGTGTCACAGAATAGAGTTACTGCTTCAGAGTGGAGTTCTGACTCCACAAGTTTACAAAGTATAACTAGTCAGAGTGAAGATATAAAACCTTTAATGATTTGTGAGGAGGAACCAAAATTGTCTACTTCTGTTATTAAAGAGTTTGAAAATGATGAACTTGACGGTAAATTGAATATTTGTGGTAATGATCATGATAGTGCAGATTTGTCTTTGGTTGATCATTATGAGATGCGGGATATGCCTACTACTGCTAAGTTAAATAAAGGTTCTGTACAACTACAACGTGAAGTAGAATTGAACGCAGATGCAGTTCCGGAAGGTGTGCATACTTGTGAGACAGTCAGTGTAATTGATCAGCGTGTAGCCCACCTATCATCAGATGATAGTGCTAAACCCGAACTAGTAGTGAAAGACAGCAGTGGTGGTAATCTTGCAGTTGGACAACTATCTGAAAGCCGAAAAAGAACAGCTTCTGATCCACCGCTAAGTTCATCACATTGTGTCACTCAGTCATCGTTGGTGCTGTCATCCACAATGAAACAGACACCCATCAACTCAAGTATCTTGTGCAATGACTATGGTAGTATCAGTTCGTTTGAAAGGACGAATATCAATGGTCAGTTTAGTGTGGATAAGCCAAGTGTAAAGGAGAGAGTTATTGTTAAATTGACTTGCATGAATAAAGGCATTTCTAGTTTCAAGTTACTATTTGAATGTTATTATCTTTGGTGTAAATTACTCTGTTTCTACACTTGGTTGATGAGATATGCCGTGTGTTTGTTGGTCATCTATATTCTACGATACAATGACATGGGCGTGTTACTGTTCAGATTTGAGGATTTAGCTCATAGAAGGAAGTCAGCAAATGAACTCTGCGACGATTTTCCAACCTAGGGCGTCAACCTGAGAAGGGTTGTAGGCGTACTGGTGTAAGTCCTACAGTTCTTCAAAGGGTAGCGCATCAATGAGCAGTCCAAGTGCTTGGTGTATGATCTTGTACATATGTTCATATTGTATATACTGAATTGATATCATCTGTCATCTAGCTGTTGGTAATTCTGTTTGTGTCCGGACGACTTCCACTTGGATCATCAACCTGAGAAGGAATGTAGGCGTACTGCTGTAAGTCCTACAGTTCTTCAAGGGTAGTTTGTCATGCCGGAATCCACAACATTTGATGTGTTGATTGTACATATGTTTGTGTTAAATAGTTGTGTGAGTTCCAATTGATGTAATTGTTGGTTAATCTTGTTTGTGTCTGGACATTCCACAACTTACAATCGTCAACCTGTGAAGGGTTGCGGGCGTACTGGTGTAAGTCCTGCAATTCTTCAAAGGAATTCCATCAAGACATGATCGGCGAGGTTGTTTGTACTGTTTGTATATATGTGTGGTGTGTTCTATCAATTGGTGTATTTTGGATTCATTGTGTTTACTTGTTGTTTTCGTATCTTGTTGTTATTGCGTAATTTTGTTAAAATTTTCGTCGTGATTACTTCTGAAGTTGTTTCGAGTCTTCTACGTCCATGAATGAATTGATTGATGTTAGAGACAGCAGATGGGTCGTATACGCCGGGGAGGCTAGGCTAATGCTGAGAATGAAATGCACACGGAGATAATTGTTAGCTGCGATCTGACACGCCGGGGAGAAAGAGTGTACACGACTGAGGCTCGCATGCGTCACCGCTACTAGAACTGAGGCAGAATGAGTGACAAGCGATTTCAATGGTAATTGGTAGTGGGTAACTAAGAGGATGTGCGTAGAGTATCGTGAGGTCCTGCCATGGTCACTTTGCATTCTGCAAGAGTCATTCTAGCAAGTGGCGATTGTGTTGCAAGATGTCAAGAGGAGGTCTCTGTCTGGACGCGCAGGTCGTCATTGATGTGTGAGATTGTGCTGTGGGTATGCTTGTGGTGTGTTGGCTTTTCTGTTTGTTTTCCATTTCAGCTCTGTCCGTGTGACCCAGGTTCTCGCAATCGCATCCAAGTCAACGTGCATTGGTCGTGAAGGAAAAAAGGGTTGGATCCCTTTTTTGCCGGGGAGTGTCAATGGAGTTGAAGATTGAACGATCAATTCTTGGTTGTTTGCTCAAAATCAACTTCCTCGATTTTCGCGGAGGCATCAATACGACAGTCATCGTCTCATCGGTCGCTGTTCAGAAAGAAGACTGAAACATCGTCAGAAGTAACAACGATTTATTATTGTAATATTTGTTTACAGACCTTAGTTTGCTTAGTGATACTTGATTTATATGCTGGTGTAACAATACATAATACTCAAGTCAACAATTGGTGTTTTGGTTTTTTCGTCCGTTGTTACTAAGCGTTTCTGAGAAATCTTCTAAGAACAGCGTGGGCCCGAGCGTAGCGAGAGCTGGGCATTAACGGTTTATGAGACTTTGCTGACAATGACCTTACCTAGTTTTCGCCTCCACGATCAAATTTCTTTCCTGTTATGAAAGTACGATAAGACTACTGAAAAATGGAATAAATATATCACTGATCTCAACATAATACATCAATAAATTTTAAACCAAGGGTGTTGTTCACAACAAAGTTATATAAGAGAATTGGCTTCAAGCTTTTTTTCCCAGATATTTGTATTACATTCATCTGATGTCTGGGTTTTTTTTAATGCGAAGACAATATCTCTATATCTCTTTATGTGCTACACAAACAGACTTCATAGCAGACTGTTCCGTCTGACTCTAATGTCAGAAAGAACAACCAATCTGTAAATTCATCATACATCAATTTGTGTAATTTATATAATAACTTATCCATGCCTGTACAATTGGTATGTTCCTGCATAAACAG